CTGGGCCTCCCTTCTGAAGCTGCTGCTCCCGCGACCCGACCCCGGATAGGTGGAAGAAAATGGATGGATGGATGGATGGATGGAAATAGATGCTCGTAACAATAATTTGTCTTTAATCTGTGCAGTTCAAAATGTTTGTCAGTCGTGAAGGTAGGATTAGCTTAGCATAAAGGCTGTAAGTTTTCCTTAAAGATAAAGTTTCTTTTAGCAAACTTGTTTGTTTTTGGTGTGTATTTTCTCTGTTTTGTTGGTTCTGAACTCATTTTAACCATCATTCAGACCAGATCCTTAACATGATGTCACAAGCAACATCCTGCAGCGACACTCTACAAAGTAAAGCTAATATACCGTAATTTTATTTATTTCCATGTCAGCGAGGCATAAATTTTAATAATGACCTTTTCCTGTTTTTTCAACAGGTCTTTACACGTCTCCATTTGAGAGCATCGCCCTACTGTTCTGCTGCTTCTTCATCCTAATACTGGCAGTGGGCTTCATTTGTGTTTACAAGATGTTTGACCACTCACAAGGTGTGGATGTGTGGGTGCGTGTGTGAGAGAGGGAAATATGTTGCTTTGAAAGGTGTAATCAAATCTATTTTTAATTTTTTTTGCACAGCTTCACCTGACATTCCAGCAGCAAAGTAAGTCTTGTCATTTTGACGATCAGTCAGCTTAGCTCTTCTTTAACTCAGATATAAAAAAGCTCTAAGAGATCCTGCAGTCTGATATCTGTTCCTTCCTCAGTCCCGGCTCTGCTCCACTTCATCTTTCAGAACCAGAGTCTCTGTCAGTGGCTCTCCAGGCTCAGGTGTTCTTTGCAGATCAAGAAGTTGAAAATCAGGTGAACATAAAGCTGAAAACTGCTCAGCTTAGTTTACTGTCCAGTCATAATACTGGACTTCTCAGTTAAGACCCCAGTACAATCTGCGATAAAAGTTGAGTTGTTTGTGTTGTGTTTTTCAAGATGACCACCAAAGATATTTGGCCTTAGCCAAAAAAAAAAAAAAGAGTTACTAATCAGTTAATTTTACAGATATTGAGTGAAAATTTGATGTTGCACTAGCAAAGAGTTGTTCCCAATACATACTAAGAGCTAACAGATCTTGAGATTCTGAATACAGTTAATATTTTTGTCGATGTTTGACCAAAACAGTTAAAACATGATTAAAAAATAAAGATTATCTCAGCTTACCACTGCAGTCGATGGACGATAAACTTGCTGAGTTTCTCAGATCTAAAGAAATGATCTCTCACCAGAATCAAGCAATGCATTTATTTCTTACAATGTACGTACATGCATTTGGAAAGAGAAGCCTTTAGTTAAAAGTGACTCCACGAACTTTAATGTCAAGAAGGGTTTAAATAATTAACAAGTGTCTTTTAAAATGATTTTCAATAAAAGTCAACAGTTTGCATGAAATTAACCTGTTAGCATAAATAAAATGTATGTGTTTTCAGTCATTCAATAAAATTCATCAAATTACTGAAAAATAAGTGTTCATATATTTTGTAGAATCTTTAAGATGCAACCAATGATTGATTTTTCTCTTCAACTCTCTTTCAGACCATGGAGATTACAGTATAAAAAGATCCTGCACATCTTTTGTAATTATTGTTTTTTGAAAAGTAAATTTATTGTTTTACTGAAGTTTGTTTGTTAGAATATTTGCTGTATTAAAAAATGTGAAATTGTACTGAACAACTACTGTACACTGTTGTTTTTTGTTTTGTACACAAGTTTCAGTTTTTTAAAAATACATTGAACCCACAAAAAAAAGAAAACTTGACTTCATCGTCACTTCATCGTGTTTGACTTGGTAAAAAAAAACAACTAAACTGTTGGAGCGTCCAGCTGAGGAGACGTTACAGAGAAGGAGGCGACAGCAGGGAGGTGTTCTGCGACATTATCAGTTCCTCACAGGCGTCTCTGTTTATGTAGCTTTTATGCACATCTCTCCCATCAGAACTGAGGTCTTTCGCTGTGTGAAAGACTCCAACATGTTTGCCTTCACCTCTTTGGTTATTCTGGGTAAGCAAAACAACTCAAACTGCATTCAGCATTTATTATTTGAAATGTACAAACATGTTTCATGTTTAAATATAAAATAATGTTTTGTTTTATTTGTGCAGGCATGTGCTGCTGCACCAAAGCAAACAGTAAGTCAGTTTTATTGTTTGATGTAAAATTACGTATATCCGATGATTTTTTTTTCTTCTTGTGATAAATAGTTGTGTGAGTCTTTTTTGTTTTAATCAGGTGAGATTTTTCTGGACCGTCCACAACTTCATATACCCTCCGAGGTTTTGGTGAAACAAGTCGTTGACTTTTTGTGTGAATATCCAAACCAACATAATCAGTCAGTCTTGCTGAAATTATTCAAGTAAGTGCATTCAGTATACATCTAATAGGAAAGAAGAGAAATCCAAACTATTAAAAATGGTTTTAATTTTTAACTGTTTCCAGGGTGGGCAACCGTAAAGATGTGATGGGTGAATACACCCTGCCAGCTGAAGAGAATTTTGGCATTTTTCCCAAACTTATCAGACTTTCACACGAGGGATACTTTGAGTGTGAGGCCAGCATACAAAACAACACTGAAATAAATGCCACTGTCAGTCTGATCCACTACCTGAGGGTGATCGGTGAGTCCAAATACAAAAACAGATACATAAAACACACATTTATTTTATTTACAGAGCTAGCATCCCTGAAACAAATGCAAATCGTCCTCTGCCTTGCTGTAATTATTTTTGAGAAATCCCATGCAAACTCAACTGAGCGATATTTCACAGTCAGATGATGTGTTGGGGGATTAATAAGCTGCAGATACAGTGAAAACAGTTTCAAGAAAAAAGGTTTCATTAAAATCCCTACAAAACATGACAAAACGATCCAAAGGTGTGGTTTGCACCATTTGTAGTACTTGAAGCACACGTTGTGAATGACTCTCAGCTATTACCACACTAATTTTAACTAACTGTCCTAAAAACTGACTGAACCATTGATTTGATTTTGATTTATTGATTTAACAGGAAAAGATTACTTAAAATCAAGCCCGACTCAGCATAATTGCTGTTTTACAGCAGATTCCTGTTCTGCAGCACATAAAACACTCAGAAATACAGCATCACAATCACATCATTATACACCATAGACACAAAGACAAACAAGCATACCAAATTTCAGGAAGGCAGCATTTGCAAAATAAGACGTCGAAATATGAGCACAACAGAAAGTGTCCAGCAGATGGCAGACAAGATTATTCTTAAAGGGCTGTAGTTTTGAAATAGACTTTATGTTTTGAGGAATGTCATTCCATGCTTTAGTATAAACATAGAAGAAAGACCTCTGGCCGTAACAGTTTTTAAAAGTTGGTAATATCAGTTGACTGATAGAGATTATAGGGACAATTTGATTTGAAGACTTGATAAGACAACAGGTTTTAGTCTAAATAAAGTTTATTCTAAACCAGGGGTGCCCAAACATTTTCTCCGAGGGAGCAAAAATGGAAATCTATCTAGGGCTGCGGGCCAAATACAGTTATATAATAC